TTCAAGATTTAGTTATATATAATTTGTATATCACAATCATAACTTCTTGTTATTAACAAAGCACTAAAACTTAAATCTACAAACTATATTATTTAATATAATTTATTAGAATAGTGATTCAAATAAACAATAGATCTTACAAAAATAAATACCTTAACCATATTAAAAGTGTTTACAACCTAAATCGATTGGACCTAGGATATAACACTTACAAACTCTCACTTGCACTAAATCCAATCACTCATGTATCTAATATCTTAATCGCATTCATGATGATCATGTTTATGCTATGACAATTGCTTTGTCAATGGATCTGATATATTATCATCCATGGGAACTCCCTTTATCTTCATGTCATTTCTTTATATAATCTCCGTGATGAGATAATACCGATTTAGCACATGTTTGGATCGTTGATGAGACCTTGGTTTTTTCACTTGCTTAATGCTTGCTTTTTTATCACAATACAGTGGTATGAGATCAAAAATGCTAGGAACGACTCCAAGTTTATTAATAAACTTCTTGATCCAAGAAAACTTCCTTCGCTGCTTCAGAAGCAACAATGTACTATGGCTCTTGTTGTTGAATCAATGGTTGCTTACTGTTTACAACTTTTCTAACTAATCCCTCCGCTGTTAAGAGTAAATAATAAATCCAGATTGAGATTTACTATCATTCTTGTTAGACTAAAAGATAGCATCAGTATATCCATGAACTTTTAGTTCATCTCCTCCATATATCAAGAAAACATCTTTAGTCCTTAAGCACTTGAAAATGTTCTTAACTACTACCTAATAATTTTCATCGGGGTTTGCTTGAGACCTACTTGTAACTCTTAATGCATATGAAATATCTGGTCTCGTACATAGCATGCATACATGATAGATCCAATTGTTGATGTATAAGAATTTTTATCCATGCAATTTCTCTCATCATGTGTTTTGGAACACGTGTTTTTTGAGAGGTAAATTCCATGTGATATAGGACATAATCCTCTCTTGAATTCTTCCATATTGTTAAATCTTCTCGAGATTTTATTTATGTATGAAAATTGAGATAAGCCAAGCAATCTTTTAAATCTATAGAAGCGATCTTTTAGATCTATCTCTATAGATCTTAATTCCTAAGATATAAGCTGCTTCTCACATATCTTTCATGAAGAAATTCTCCGACAACTACAATTTTACCGATCGAAGTATTGAGATGCCATTTCCCATTAATAATACATCATCTACATATAATATTAGGAATACGACATCGCTCCCACTTGTTTTCTTGTAAATACACAATTCATCTTCATTTTTGATAAAATAAAACCTTTTGATTGCCTCATCAAAGCGAAGATTCCAGCTTCTAAATGCTTGTTTTAATCTATAAATGGATCGATTAAGTTTGCATATATTTTGGCTTCTTTGAATTCAAGACCTTCAAGTTCTACCATGTACACATCTTCTTGCAAGTTTTCGTTAAGAAAAGCAGTTTTGATATCCATTTGTCATATCTAGCCTATAATGATGGAAGACAGTTAGACTAATTCTATCTAGCATTCCCGAGCCAAAAGAAAGACTAATTGGTCAATTCCACGGGGATATAGCATTGGATTAGTATCAATGCACCATCTTCATGATTTTCCCCTCTTCTTACATCTTCAATTAGTCTAACTACAAACATTCATCATATACTAGTTGGCAGGCAAACTTAAATAAAATTGGACGCGCAGGCCCATAATAACAAAAATAATAACGAATTAGTAGGTTCAAAACAAAATAAAGCTCGTAGGTCCATAAAACAATAATAATAAAATTAACCATTCAACACATCCATAAGGTCGAATTCATAATCATCCACTAAATAAAACATTCATCATATAAATGCTTTTCTATATAATATCTAATATTATATGCAAACATGTTTCAGGAGTCTAGAAATCGTAGTCATCTAAATTCATTTAGAAAAGTGGGTTGAAATAACTATACAAATAATTAATCATATTAATCAATTAATTTAATTAGAGGTTTTATTTAAATCAAATCAAAATTTAATTAAATACCGAATTAGAGTCCGACTCTAGTTCCACAATTATAGAGCAAAAACTATTAAATTAAAATCAAAATCTAATTAAATACCAAATTAGAGTCCAACTATAATTCCTTAAAATTTTAGGGCTAGATAATTTAATTAAAATCAAATTTCAATGAAATATCAAATTAGAGTCCAACTCTAATTTCAATTGAATTAAAATTTTAATTTAGGATAAAATTCCGAAATAAAATAAAATTCAATTTAGGGTTAAAACTTAATATTTAAATTAAAATCCAATTTCAACAAAAATATAAAATTCGTCAATTTTATATAAAATTTTAATCTTGGATCAAAACTAAAATATGGGTCAAACTCATTTAACATACAATTAAAGAAAAACTTCTAATGTTCAAATTCAGAACCCATTTTGAAAATTGTAACTTGACCCAAGTTAAAATTAAAGAAGGTCACAATTTCGAAAATTGCATGATAGGTCATTTATTTTAAAATTGCAAGATAACACGTAAAATTTAAATGCATACGGGGGCATGCAATTTCACAAATTGCATCAGAAGCCCCCACCTCTATCTTTTCTCCAAAATCCTAACCCTAAAAAATAAATTCCTACAATGCTAGCCAACGTCGCTGAGATCACTTGCGGTGGGGTAGTGCGAAAATGTTGTTGCACATTGTAGGAACTTCGCATTGCTATAGTAGGGGTAGCAAAGTCGTTGCAGATCACAGCGGCATCTGCTGTCGTTGCGATGCATGCTACGTGCAGTGACGAAGCTTAGCCCCTACTCCGCTACGACTTGATCCATGTTTTAAACAAAAATAATAATTTTTTGTTTTCAAAGCCAGATTTGATGATGAAATTAATTTTCGAAATTGCTAGATTCAGGAATAAGATGAATAATCAACTTTTGATTGTATCAATATGTAAAACAATTTCTAATGGGTACAGAGTAGGCTCTGATTCCAATGTTGGAAATTTATTTAACATGCACAATGAAAATTAAACAAAATTTCAATTCCCATCAAGGATCTGCTTTGTGTTTAGATAGAAATTGTAATAAAAATTATACATTTGTTGAATTTTACAAACTCCTTTCCTTCTCTTGAACTTCACCAATCACGATACGTAATCCATAGCTATCCAATTGTAGAACAAGATTGAGAGAACTAGAGTCTTTCTTTTTTGTGCTAGCATGAATATGAATTATGTTTTCGCTCTAGTTTTTTATACCCTAGCAGCTTATTTATATAAATTCAAGCGGGTTTAGCCAATCTCATAACTTAATCTGATCCAATATTTAATTAATCCAATTAATTAAATTTTGTCCATAAATTAATTAATCGACTATTAATAACCAACCCAATTAATTAATTATCCAACACTTGTTAATTAATTAATTGGAGAATGTCATTCTTTTAGTTCTTCTTTTGTGTGTGACCTATTAGGTTCTCAATCACGATGTCTAACGATGTGAATTATTGTTTTGATCTATTAAAAATTGATAAATTAAAACACCCATTTGAATTTATCATGAATTCGCATTCGTCACCTAGATTAACGTCTAACAATGTGTCAGTATAATACATGTGACAGGAAATGTCGAGTGGATGACAAAATCAAATTTGTTCGTTTACTATAAAATTATAATCCTTTTGTCAATATGATCCGATGAATTACGAGATATAGATATATGCCAGTCTCAATTATTGATCCTATCTTTTATCCTACTATTAAGTTAATATAAGTCAAAAACTCCTTTTCGACTTATAAGTACACATTGGCCAAGTATTTTATTATCAACGTAATTGGATAAAATATATATCATAATCTCTTACTATATAAGAGTAATGAATCCTATATTGATCATTCACAACCTTCATATGATTCTTGATATACTCAAATGATGTTGTATTAGAGGCCTTGGCAAAGCAACATCCAACATTACCAAAGTATGTCTGTCATCATATATGGCACTATGATGACCTCATATCAAAGGACCAATTTTATTATCAAACGTTAGAAATTAACAACTGACACTCAGATAGTTATTCATATGGAATCTCCCAACTGGTCTTCAATATTTTGTTCTATAACAAAATATACACGTGTTTATTTAAGTGTCACAACACTTTAATTTATAAGATCAGCTACTTATTTCACAAGAAATATCACCTATGATAGTCTCTTTATTACCTAGAATATGGATGATTTAAAACTCAATCAAATATAATTTGCATATTACAATTACAACTTATTGTGATTAATATATCTCTAAAACTTAAATCTACGGACTTTATTATTTTATATCATTTATTAGAATANTTACAATTACAACTTATTGTGATTAATATATCTCTAAAACTTAAATCTACGGACTTTATTATTTTATATCATTTATTAGAATAGTGATTTAAATAAATAATAGATATTGCCAAAATAAATGCATTAAGCATATCAAAAGTGTTTACAACCTAAATCAATTGAACTTGGAGCATAACACTTACATAACTTTTATGCATACACTTGTGATCATTTATATCTAATGGAGACGACATCACGAATACTTGTATCATTTCATGTTATTGTCCCTAACCCCCAAATGAAACAAATGATCTCCCTATTTTCATTTAACACAAAACAAAAGTTTGAAAATTAGCAATGTACAGAAGGTGATAAAACTTGATAATTATTCTAATGTTTTTTGTAAGTTTCGTATATTGGGTAGATGAAGGTTTAATTGTTTTCTCCAAATACATGCAAGTTTGAATCCTACTGCATGCTTCCAGAATTATATCAAGATAATATAGAAAACAACAAGAACTCAACATAAAAATCATTTTAGAAAACTAGGTACAGCGCCTAAAATTGCTTTTCATTATTAGTCCATATTTTAATTCAAAATTTAAGCAAATATTCGAAGTGCTGCGGACAAAGATCTGGATTATATCTTTAATTAAGACCCTTTTCCCGATGTAAAGATTTTATATTTGAGAAAAATATTACACAGTGTTTGCCTAGATTATAACAATTAGGCTAAATTTAAATTATTCCACCTATCTTTGCATACAGATCAAGAATAAGATAAAGACAAAGCAATGGACAGATATTACCTCAGAATAGTCTGTGCATAATAGCATTGACAAAAACTCAAAATCTCACTTAGAAATTGTCACAGTCATAGTGTCAGATCTAAAGTACTAGTCGCCATTCTTGCGTGCTTTCTGTCCTTTTCCGTCGAGGATGAAGAGAACAAGGACAGAGATAAGCTGGTATATACTGCATCATTCTTCGAACTTGAATGATTACTCCCATTGACGTCGTGTGTCGATTCTAGTGATAAATTTAGAGCAAGATTCACCTCTGAAATCTTTCTTTTCAATGGACATGTACCTTCTTGATCCACCAATGCTGTCTTTTCGCTTCGAGGGAAAGAGGTTTGAAAATGGTTTATGCCTTCATGGCCTTTATCTTGCGATTTGCTACTGAGATTTGGGTTTGTTAAGCTAATTCCAACTTGATTTTGCCAAAAAAGGTTATTTGGGAATACTCTTTCTTGCTTATTCATGTGAAAATCAGAACCCTGTATATATCCCTTGTGATTTCTTCTAAAAATCCTCTCAAAAACTGATCCGTACAATCCATTTTCTGTTATACTACTTGATGCGTTGTGAGAAGGACTATAAACAGAATTGGCACGGTGACTCCAAACGGCATCTCCATAGCTTTTTAACAAGATAACAATGAAATTAGGGCTTGCAAAATTTAAAAAGGAGAAAGAAAAAAATCCATATTCCGTATGAAATTTACCATTTATACATACCGTAAATTTGAAATACGTGTTTGATTATAAGTTTGCATCATAGGAAGCCGACGAAGGTTATAAATACGATGATCTCCACCATCAAGAAGAAGCCGCTGCCCCGAAATAACTGCAGATTATGAAATTTCCGGCAAAAATTAGAAAGAGGTTCACTAGAAACCCTAGTTTTATATTATGTATAGATGACAAAATTTCGTACCCTGATTAGGGTCATCTATCTTCTTGCTTCTATACATCTGATCAGATAACATCAATCCAAAGATGCAGTTGTAAAATTAAATTGAATCTAAAGAAAAATAAAGTTGAAAAATGCTGATAATTAATTGGATTAATTGTCAAATTATAATGACCTGAAGATGGCTCTTGACATGAGCAATGCTAAGGCCTTTATTGTTCATCAATTGAAGAACCAACTTTGGAGTTGCTTCTGCACCAATATTAATGAGTAAATTAAAACATATAAAGAACATTAATTTGTGGGAAATATTAGAAAATTAATTAATTAGGTTAAGAAAATTTGAAGGACTCACTTTCTTGTCCTCCTAGTCTCTCAACTGCATGAACAAAGCAAAGGTGGAGCTCTGGTGTCCACCGAAGGCGGGGTGTTTTCGATCGATTGTATGGTCTTATAGATCCAGAATTGGTCTTTTTCCTATTCTCTTCAACTGTGCTGTTGCTTGAGCTGTTTCCATACATGGGTTCGCCTTCATTTGCGGTTTCATCTATCTCATCTTCATCTTCAATCCGGTTTTTCAGGCTGCTTGTGTTGGAATTTTCCATGCTGGATCAAACTCGTGTCCTCTCTTGATCAATTAATCTCTTGCCGTTTGCACTCAGAAGAAAATAGTTCTGTCTGTAAAAATTGTTTGAAGGATTCTGGTTGTCACCAACATTGTGAAATGATGTGATCTGGTCTTACCTTTAGCTTAGAGTACATATTAGATGGAGATTTATTCTTAACAGGAGAGGAGAATAACACTTGCAGAGAGTTGTTAGAATTGGGAATGAAAAATCCTTGTTTGCGAATACAAGTTAGTCCTCCCCCNAGAATCACAAGAAAGAAAACAATTGACAATGGATACAAATGTCATGACACATAAACTCGTTCTATAATTGAGAGACCATATATGTTGTTGTGTTTTATGTTGTAATTGGCGACTCTATGAACAAAAAATGCTATATTGAATATGTGTAGAAGTCAAAGAGTTAGTAGTAATATCGTATAATTGGATAAGGTAACTTAGGGTTACAGAACGAGTTTGGAATAAGGAAGAAAAAATGCCGCATTTTCACTCGCCTCTCTCCAAGACACTGCTCGAGCAACAAAAATAGAATGGACTTCACTAGCCTTTTGTCAAGATTTTGCACGAGCGAAACATTGTCGCTCACTTTTCGTTGGAGTATCGCTCGAGTGACGGAATTATTCAACCAACCCTAATTTACGATTTTAGAAAGTTTTACACAGCCTATAATGCCTAAACATCCCCATAAATACCTAAGCCTTGCACAATTTTCTCGATGCTTGTTCTTTGTGCCTTTATTTCATATCATATTCATGTTCATAACATCCTTTGATGACCCAAAAACACATTCAACTCAGGATTCAAATAATTCATTCTTGAGATCCTACAACCACATATTGGGAAGAATATCGAAGTTCCAGAATCCAAAACACCCACTTGCTTTGTGCAATAAGGAAGGAATGTACATTCTCAATTGTAACTTCAGATGTTGTTGAAGATTAAAGAAGTCTACAAGCGCATGAATAAGAACAAGAATAGGTGATTCTTTGGTATCCACTTGGAAGAGACGATTGTACAAGATCGGGAAGCTGGAGGAAACAACAGTAGCTTCGAGATTATAGGAAATAGACTGAAAAGTCGAGTGGAGTTGACTAGACAGCATCTAACTATAACAATCATTATCTATTGTGGATGTAACTGGCTTGGTCCAAAAGTTTTTACCCACTTGGGTTTTCTCCGTCATCATATTGGTGTTATTGATTGTTTCCATATTACAAACTGTGGTATACAAATATAAGGAATTGGACTTGTATGATTAACTATCTAAAAACTATTAAAAAGTGACTTGTTGCTTTTTATTAGAATAATTCCACATGTAAGGTCAAACTAAATCAACTAAGTAATAATTTTCATATATCATTATACATTTTAGTTTGACAGACCTAATGATTCTTTGATCTTTACGTATGAATGCGATAGTACCATTAGAATTTGCACTGTATTTGTGTGTGTATGTGGTAGGGGTGGTCTAAGGGAGAAAGGAAAAACTCTTCATGTCAAGAACCAAGAATTTGACCAAGTTGATGGCACATTTGTCTAAGAAATAATTAGGGATAAAAATTTGAATTTTGTTGGTCAGATTGGATTCTTTACTGATCAAGTAAGTCATTTGACCAAGTTGATGACACATTTGTCTGAGAATTGTTCTCTCACTAGGCAATTTTGGATAAAGAAAAGCGATCTGTAAAACTGTGAAGTAGATCACTGTGCTCTTAAAGTTAAGAGCACTCATATACCTAACTGATTAGGTAATTCTGATGCATGCTTGTTCTTTATTATTATGAGTCATTAATTTGTGCATGCATCACATCTATTTGTTTGTCGTTTAGGTAATTGTTTCTCGCACGTGCATTTTCGTTTTGTTTGCATTAGTAAATGTACTTTTTTGTTTTGTTTTGTGTGTAGCGCATTCATATCTTAAAAATAAAAAGAAAAAAAAATTTGAAAAACAAAAAAATGGAGGGAGATGGAAATTTTTACTACAGCATGATATATAACATTCTTGAACTTGTGTGTTGCGATCATGTATAAGCATAATTGATGAGATGTAGCATATTTTCCATTACTTGCTTAGATTGCTATGGAGTATTTAGTATAGGTATTTTCATGTACCATCTGTACTACACACACTATAATATTGTAAGTGAGATTTAACCGCATGTGTGAGATTTGGGATAGTAGTCACTTATTAGTAAGGTGACTTTGAACATGAATTGACCAAATTTGTTAGAACTAAACTCAACTATATCTTCTCATAATAATAAGTTCAATATCTTATGTTATTCTTCGGAGCCCATTTGACTCAGACAATTAAGCTTGCAAGGTGTCTCAAAACCTGGTACCCATGGTCAATTGACTTGGATTAGCTGACCTAAAACTCGCTACAGAGTGATCTTAGTTGCTTAATAAAGAAGGATCTGCACTTAAGATGTAAAAATTGATGAGCTTTAAAAATATTGAAAAATATGAAAAATGTATGCTCAAAGTTAGGGAGAGTCAATATCTTATGTTATTCTTCGGAGCCCATTTGACTCAGACAATTAAGCTTGCAAGGTGTCTCAAAACCTGGTACCCATGGTCAATTGACTTGGATTAGCTGACCTAAAACTCGCTACAGAGTGATCTTAGTTGCTTAATAAAGAAGGATCTGTACTTAAGATGTAAAAATTGATGAGCTTTAAAAATATTGAAAAATATGAAAAATGTATGCTCAAAGTTAGGGAGAGAAAAGAAAAGATCAAAATATACATACAAAATGAGCTTCATTTAAAGGTCCTAATGTGATTAATGGTTTAACTTTCATAAGTTGGATAATAAACTTATTGACAGTAATGCTTTGCATGTCCTTTCTCACAAAATTAAGGTTTGGAGTCCTGTTTACAAAAAATTAGTAACACTTTACATGGGTCACTTATTTAATTTACTCCAGTTTAACTTAAGATGAGTATGTGAGAAAGTTTACTAATCATTGATTATACTTGTGCATGCTATCAACAGCTTCATTTAAAGGTCCTAATGTGATTAATGGTTTAACTTTCATAAGTTGGATAATAAACTTATTGACAGTAATGCTTTGCATGTCCTTTCTCACAAAATTAAGGTTTGGAGTCCTGTTTACAAAATAATTAGTAACACTTTACATGGGTCACTTATTTAATTTACTCCAGTTTAACTTAAGATGAGTATGTGAGAAAGTTTACTAATCATTGATTATACTTGTGCATGCTATCAATTGTATTTTTAAGTTGTTACATATTGTTGCTAAAATTGAGTTTGAAATTGCACCGTTCGTCATTTGTAACAAAAAGAAAGAGAGAGTATATACAAAGGGGAGAAATATACATAGGGGGAGAAGTTTGAAATTGAATTTGGATTGACATTCATTTGCATTTTATATCTAGGGTTTGTTGGAGAAAGATATAAATACATTTATATACTGCATAAAAATGTTGAGAGTTTGTAGTACGGAGGAGAATTTGCATTGCATTGCATTCCAATTCATAATGCATAGTTGTTTGAGTTTTGATGTTTCGTAACATTAATGTTTCGGTGGGTGTTTTGATTGACATTAATATCACGTCTCAAACTAGCATGCTTATTTATGATTATGAACATTTCATATATCACTTGCTTTTACACTGAGTATTTGATTTTTAGATTTCAGAAAGCATGTATATTAAGGAATGCAAAAGACAGAAGAGCTAGGGTAATTTAGATTATTTAAATTTGTTTATTTTACTACCTTGACTTCAATTGCGTACTTTTGTCACAGAATGCCATAAGGGAAGTTTTTCAGGTTTTGTGTTGTAATTGGCAATTCTGTAAACAAAAATGACTAAATTAAATATATGTAAAGATCAAGGAGTTTGGAGTAATATTGTATAGTTGGATAAGATAGTTTAGGATTAGAGATTGAGCTTAAAACAAGGAAGAAGAAACGCCGCATTTTCGCTCACCTTAATGAACTTCACTAGCTTTTCGCTAGGACTTCGCTCGAGCGAAAGATTGTCGCTCACTTTTTCGTTGAAGTATCGCTTGAGCGACGGTATTATTCAGCCAACACTAATTCGTGATTTTAGAAAGTTTTACACAGCCTATAATACGTAAACATCTCTAACTATAAATACCTAAGCCTTGCACGATTTTCTTGGTGGTTGTTCTTTGTGCCTCTACTTCATATCATATTCATAACATCCTTTGATGATCCAAGAACACATTCAACCTAGGATTCAAATCATTCATTCTTGAGAACCTACAACCATAGATTAGGAAGAATATAAAAGTTCCAGAATCCAAAACACCTACTTCCTTTGTACAACAAGGAATGTACTTTCTCAATTGCAACATCAGATGTCGCTGAAAATTGAGGAAGGTTGGATTACAATCGCAAGAATAAAAACAAGAATAGTTGCAAGTAGGTTGGGAATTTTAGTGGAGTTGACTAGACAGTATCTAACTATAACAATCATATTTATTGTGGAGGTGACTAGCTTGGTCCAGAAGTTTTTCCCACTTGAATTTTCTCCATCATCATATTGGTGTTATTGATTGTTTTCATATTACAAACTATGGTACTCAAACCTAGGGAATTGGACTTGTATGATTAATCATTTAGAAACTGTTAAAAAGTGACTTGTTACTTTCAATAGAATAATTCTACAAGTAAAGTCAGACTAAATCGACTAAGTAATAACTTTCATATACCATTATACATTTTAGTCGGACAGGCCTACTAATTCTTTGATCTTTACGTATGAATGCGGCAGTGCCATCAGAGTTTGCACTGTATTCATGTGTGTAGGTGGTAGGGTGGTCTAAGGGAGAGGAGAAAAAACTCTTCATGTCAAGAACCAAGAAAAATGGTCTCTTCTTGACTTTCACATTTGGAATTATTGGCTTCAACAATTATTAAACTTTATATCGTCAAAATCAAATGTTATTACAATCTGACTGAATTTATTAAAACCCCTTTTTATTTCTTGAAATCCCAAGAACCAAATCCAAAAACAAAAGAGTAAAAAACTCCTCTCTAAGAATCAAGGTCCCCACTTGCCTATTTGACTATTCCTGTCCAGCTTCATCAACAAATCTTAAACAGTCATAATTTTCTTTAGTAAAAAACTCTGCTTGGATTCAGAGGTTTTGGGATAACAAAATGAATCGGGAAAGTGAGTAAATTTCAC